GCCTCGTGCGGGTACTACTGGTATATGTTATGTTAATTACGAATATGTTTTTTTTTGCGGTGCATGCCTAATGAATGAAGTGCTGTGCCTGCCACTTGGCTCAAGGCAGTTTTTGTAGGGGCATGATGCCCCAAACCAATTGTGGATTACACCTACGCTTGGCATGATGCAGCAAGCCAAGCTTTTGATGACTGGCACTTGCAAGTCATTGTGCTTGGCATGATGCAGCAAGGCATGCTTTTGACTAATAATTATGACTTTCCAGTTGGGTGCCTTGTGGCCCAAGATGGAGGCCAAATGTCTTGAAACTAGGTCTAAAAGCCATGGATGTTACATTGACGCAGTTGGAATGCGATTCCCCAACGGCGTCAGGCAGATCACGACTGACCGCTTTGACACTGTGGTCCCCACTTGCAGGGCATCCTGGACTGGCATGACGGTCTACAGATCAATGGTGCCACAAGGAAGGAGCTGGCCATGTACGCCACTGCCTCAGCAAAGAAAGTGGCACTACAGGCAAAGCATGCGGCCATCAAGAAGAAGTCAACTTCCGAGCTCAACGAGCCCGCGGAATGGTCGCACCGAATTGTCAAGAAGAAGAAGCTTGCCGACCGAATTGCAAGCAGAGATGAGTTCTCCAAGCCTCTGGATCCAGTTCCTGAAAAGATTGAATTCAACCAGGAGGAGAACACCATCCCAATTGAAACCTACGTGGAACATCAACAACTTGAGCTGCGTCATGACCATGACGTGAACATCAACAACCTTGTGCCGATTCCGGACACGTCGGTTGACATCGTCCCTATACGACCAGGAGACACAGATTGAGTACGGCTGGGTGGTTTGGTGCCTGCAGTTGCTCTGGCATTTGCTGCCCTGGCTTGTTCCACTTGAAGGTCTACGCCGACTTCCTGGTGCACACGCCCAATCTCTGGGTGACATGCCTGCAGCCAACGCATGCCCCGCAGTTGAGATTGTCCCCGACGAGGGCAGTCAGTCCTACATCTGGGACATCGTCATTGCCCTGGCCTTCATCATCTTCGCTGCTGCGTGCTATGGTGGTGGTTGGCTGCATGGTTGGTGGATTGGCCGCAACTACATTCTGCGCCGCCGACACGTGAGGTCGGACCGACTACAAGATCAACTGAACCTCAGAATGAGGGAGATCTTGGATTTGCAAGGCAAGTGGAACAGCTGCAGCAACAGATCGAAAAATCTACTTTGCCTGCTGGCCCAATCATCGCCGACAGAGAGATCAAGAAGCTCCAATCGCAAGTGCGAAACCTGGAGCAGAGCTTCTGGCACAAGGACCGGCAGCTGCGAGCCTTGGATCGAAAGCGCATGACCCTGATTCGTCGAATTGGGCGACTTCGCGGTTTTGTGGATAAGTCGAGGGATCTCGCTGCGCGAGCTCGAGTGGAAGTGATGAACCATGCCCACAACGACTGCGTGGTGGGACGGCAGATTTTCCTCGCTGCCTGGCTGTGTGTGGCATGTGGACGACCAATGTCCACAGCTCTCAAGGAGCGCTGTACTGGAGCGGCACGCTTGTCAAGCCTGCTCCTCATACTACATCACTCCCTACCGCTACAATGACAACAACTCAACGTTGCATCAGGATCTGAACAACTACCTGGCCCAGTTGGAAGATCTCTCTGACGAGGAACGCTGCAACCCGGACCCTATCGAGGCCGTGCCAGATGTTGTTTCGAGCCAATAGAGCTCAGGGGTGAGTGCGATTGACAAACGTCAACTAGCACCTTTTCCCCCGTGTGAAGTTTGCAGCTGCAACTTGAGATGTTAGCCTTTCACCCTTTTGACCCGCTGCTGTTTCCAATCACAGTGGTGGGATCTTGTAAGCCATAGCGGCGACTGCGCTTGGCAACTCTTCTTGGAAAAGGGTTGCGGTGCCTTCTGGGAACATTGTGGTGGGTTTGGACTTCGAGGGCCATAACCCGATCTTGACACCTATTCATATGTAATGTGTCTATTGTGTATGCACATAACCTAGCAACCTTCCAACTGATCAGGAGTAGTGGTGCGGGTGTGGGAATTGGATGCATCATGATGCATCAGAGGAAACGTCATCTATGTTTCACAGAGTGGACAGTGGCTCTCAGGTACTCCCGGCACTTCAAATGTAAATTCCGAGGACTGCTCTAATGCAAATTCTTATGGTGTGCTGTTTTTGCCGTTTTTGTCACTGGACCTCTGCCGGCGAGATTCGCTAGAGTTAGAGGTAGAGCGCTGCTCCTTCTGATCCTTCTGCTCAGTCTGTATGCGCGTCATCAAAACCTGCGCTTCTGCCAGCCTTGGAATGCATATGCCCTTCTGTACAGACTTGGTATGAATAATCTTGGAATACCTTCTTGGATAATGCTGAAGAGTCTGAGGCTTGTACATATCATCAGTCACATTCCGCATGACCAAACTTGAAACATCCTGCGGCCCAGTCTGTAAAACAGGTTCAGGAAGATGACATTGCTCAAGAAACGTCACACCTGGAATACACACTTGAACGCAGCCATGCTTTGAACAGATTTGAACAGGTTAAGTGTTTGAACAAGTTTGAACAAGTTTAAACAGTGAACTCCAATCTCAGTTCTGTTCTGTTCTCCTTGACTCGGTGGCCGCCCTGGAAGACTGCTATTCCATGCTTATGTACGAGCGGAGCGTCCCCAGATGCGAGCACAAAGGCAAGGTTAGGACCTCGTAGATTCGTACGGATGGTTGAGCAATGCTGAGCCAGTGAACAAACCATAGAAGAGACAGACTATGAGGACTATGGCACAGACTCTGGCAAACTGAGATCCAGACCTAGACCCTGCACATATGCCCTCTTTGCCATTCGGAAAGTATGTGGACTTCTTGCCTCGCGCTTCATTGGATGTTCCATTTTGATGGTACTGCAAGAGACTGGTCGTTGCACAGTTGGAGCCCATGTTGGAAATCTTCACACTGTACTTCTCAATTCCAAGTGGGTCTGGCCTGGTAAAGTTGTTCAAAAGTGGTCCTGAAGTTTGAATGCATTTGCACCTCATAGGGAGGATCATGAAAATTATGCATGTGCTCCGGCAACTCTGACTTTGCAACGAAAATTCGACAAAATGGCCAGGACTTTCCCGCAGCACAAGGTTTTAATGTCACACTGTCCTTGCCCCCTCGGGATCGCTGTAGTTGACCTCAAACATCACGGAGCTAAGAAGCCACATGGAGCCTAGAGGCCTAGAGGCCTAGAGACAAGGTCTTCCCCCGTTCCCACGCGCATGCGAGCAAGGCACAAATGCGAGACCCAAGTTGGTGGAGCGCTTATTTCCAACCGGCACATATACAAGATCGTAGTTGCTTGTAACATTGCGAAGCCTCAATGCAAAGCAACTGGAACAGATTGGAACAGACTGGAACTGTTTCTTCTTCGTCTTCTTCGTCTTCTTCGTTCCTGTGGTCCAATCACTCAACAGCTCAGGCCCCAGCAGCTTCAAGAAACCATCTAGATTGATGCTCCGCACAAGCCCCCTGGGCAGCCAAAATTACGCAAAATCATTTTGTGCCTTAAGTGCAGCTCAAACTCTTTGCAGCTCCACCTGAGCATAATAGTCGTGTCTCCTTCTTGTAGGCCTTTGGGACGCTCCTGCACATTGACATCACATTCACATCACGTTTAAGCCTAAGTTTAAGCATGTCACAAGTCAGGCCACCTTGAAACTATAAACCCTGCAACCCATTCAAATCAGCTTGCAACCTCAAGAACCAGCCTGATACTCAAAGTGACTCAGAGTCCCCGACTTTCCTGGACCAAATTCCCAAACTCTCGCAGCTTTTAAGCATCCAGCAATTCAAGACACAAGACCTGTTGAAACTTTTCAGGTCCAATGCCGCAATGCCAATGCCCCCACGCAGATTGTCTCATGGGGATACCGGCACCTGAGCCTTCGGAGGATGCCATGGTGCTCAGGGCTTCAAAATTTTGAAAATGAGGCAATCTCCGCATGTCAAATGTTTTCTATGTTTTCTGAAATGTTGATATGTTGTAAGAGCTTCAGCGCTGAATTGTTGAAAAAAAAATGCTGAAAATGTTGCGCAAATATGTGCGAAAGAGGCTCTCTTCTCTGATCTGTGAACACTAATGTTGCAGAATGTCAAACATGCAAAGTGCTTAAGTGATAGACCGCGCGCGCAACCAGACTTTCTCAGTTTGGCAAATACGGACAATGTTAAGGTTTAAGTTTGGAAGTCACTCAAGCCCACCTGTTGCATAGCTGGCAACTTGAAGAACATAAAGTCTATGTCTACTGTCTTGTGCCTAACAAGGGGCGGTCAGTCGGAGATGCTGTTCCAGATCACTTTGGAGATGGATTTGGATAGACTCCGAATTGATTGTGGCTGTGGTCGGTGCGCCAAGACATTGTGCAGTTCCAACTTCTTCTTCAACTGCTGTTCCCTGCAGATTGGTTTTGCAGGGCCGTTGATGCCATGGATTGTTGCGCATTTCAGTGATGGCTGGCTCAGGCAAAAATGTTAGTCATGGCCTGTAAGTCATGATTTCCTCCAAGATTTCCGTCACCACATCACTGGGGTGCTGCTCCAACACCTCACAACTTAGCAGCAATTCAACAAGCAGAAACACTGTAACACCATGAATGGCTGAATGGGCAATGGAAGTAATGTATCCTGGACAAGAAATCCGAAAGTCAAACAAATGCTTTGACATGGCTCCATAATGCTCCTTATCCGCTGCGCGGGGCAACACACGGAATAACTAAGAAGAAAATACGCAAGTCACTTTCACAGAATGCGAATTTCATTACATAAACAGTACTGGCAAGCACTTGTTCTGGAATGTTCCGGAATGTTCTGGAACTTGCACCTCCAGGAAGGACCGCGCAAGCACCTAAGACAGCCATCATACCAAGCTTCGAGGTCCCTCTGGTGATGGTGGGAAGGTCAGAAGTGGACAGTGCCATGTATGGTCCACACCAGCTGCGCAGCTGCAAGGTTTTTTTCGCACCGGCTATGTGAGGTCGATGGTATGTACGTCATTGCCTCAGAGTACCAAACTCAAAACTGCCTTCACTGCCTGATCAACTTCCTTTAACTACTATAATGCTTGCTCTCATTTGCTCCCTCAACATCTCTCAACCAAACTTCCTTCGATTGTGCGTTTGCAACCTCGCGGGGCCGGTTCCTCAAGCCAAAGCCTCTCAAGGTTGGCTTTGGAAGTCATCCAGTCTCTTGGACGCTTGAAGTGCCCAGAAATCGGCAGTTTCCAGTAACTTTGTTTACATGTGCAAATATCGTTCACCATGTTTTAACTTTCAACATCTTTTAACCATAGCTTCCCACCCCCATTTTTATCTTCCAGCTCTGACGTCCTCGGCGAAGGCCAAAAAGGTTCTGGCGACGTGGCGCAAGCACTCAAATGCCTCAAGTGGGATACAGCAGCCAAAAGGTTTGAACAGAATAGATAGATGCATCAATGCTTCTTGTTGGGAATCGATTTCATGCTTCCTTTTATTGGATTGAATGCAAGCAGTCAGTGTACCTTCTACACTCCATCATATGTATTAATAGGTCCCTTGCTGATTCTTCAAACTGCGAAACTCAAGCACCTGTGAAGCGTTAGCCATGCATCCATCCAATTTCTGCTAACAGCCTTGATTGAGATGCCATGTAGCTTGAGCTGTTCTGGAGATGTCTGTGCCGCTATCTTCCCTCCAAGTGTGCGCAGGCCTTTTCAACTGAGCAAAGCCACGGCCAAAGTCTGCACCACAACCTTGTCTCGCTGCTCCACGACATACAAAAGCAAAAAGGTTCGAGAGGCACTCAATCGATGTCAGGACAGCTCGCTTTTGAACTGCTTGGGTCCTTGCGATGGCAGCACAGAGAACGTTTCTTCATATCCTCTTCCAGTTTCTTCAGAGACCTGCCGAAGAAGAAGGCACACAGAACGTCAGACCGACCATAGCGACGAATCCAGACAAAACATCTGGATGTTCTCAATGCAACATGTCAACACATCTTGCCTATCGGCGAAGACACCATCTTGAAGAGCGCGGATGACACTGTCTAACGACACCTCAATAGAGTCCAATCAGCGGTAGAGTTCCTACAAGAAGCAGTAACAAGCTGTAGCAAGCATCAAGAAGTCAGGGGAGCTGCTAGAAAAGGTGGAAGAAAGGAGCCTTAGCTTCAAACAGACACTCGAGACACTTGACAGGGCCACCTGTGAGAGGCTTTTGACGGTCCTTTTCTGGACAAGGGCAAAGGGCTGCAAAGGCAATTTAGACTTGCGGTTCCACATGCCTGTCTCTGGCTGTCTCACTCATCCAGCAGTGCTTTCAAACAAGGGTCTCTCTTGGGTTCCCGTTTCACTCTGGGGGTCTGGGGGTTGAGGGTGTGTTCGCTCGACGTTGCGTTCACGGTCGCAACCGTTCGCAACCGTTCGCGCGAACTCCGTATGGCCGTGCCTATGGGAAGTTTTGCAGAGGTGGTTCTTTTTGGAGGTTTCAGACGTCTGGTTGCTTCGTTTCGCGTGGCAGGCGTGGCACTTCGTGACATTCAGACGTGTTCTGCAACGTGTCGAAAGTCGTTTCGCGTGGCAGGCGCAATACTTTTGCGACGTTTTCAGAAGATGTGTTGCAGTTTTCGTGGCAGGCGCAACACTTTGGGCGTGTCCATCGTCATTTTTCGTGGCAGGCGCAGCACTTTAGACGTGTCCTTTTGCGTGTTTTTTGTAAATCGCATTGGCAGGGCTGCGTCAAGTGGTGACAAGGTGCAAATTCCGTGGCAGGCGTGGCATTTTCTCACATGTGTTGAAAATTGCGATTTTGAGGTTACAAATTTTCAGGCCGGTTCTAAGGAAAACTCGTAGGAAAACGTCGATTTTGGAGCTGCAAAGTATGAAAATTGGAGGAAGTCTGCCCCGAAATGGTCGTTTTGGTGCTCACCTGTCTCGTCTCGAGTCTCTGGTTTTCCTGTGGCCTCGCCGTGTCTATGGGGGAAGCTGCAAAACTTGTCCTTTTGTCATGTTGCCAACTGTGAAAATTGGAGGAGTACGAAATGCGGGTTTTTCTGCATCCACGTGTCTTGTCTCGAGTCGCTGGTTTTCCTGTGGCTTCGCCGTGTCTATGGGGGAAGCTGCAAAACCTCTCCTTTTCGAATGTGTCCAAGCAGGTTGTCATGTCGTTTTGCGTGGCAGGCGTGGCACTTTCTGACATTCCAACCTGTTTGATGATGTTTCGAAAATGTCAAAATTGGAGGAAATCTCGTACGAAATGCGGGTTTTTCTACATCCACGTGTCTTGTCTCGAGTCGCTGGTTTTCCTGTGGCGTCGCCGTGTCTACGGGGGAAGCTGGAAAACATCTCCTATTCGAATGTTTCCAAGCAGGTTGTCCTGTCGTTTTGCGTGGCAGGCGTGGCACTTTGTGACATTCCAAACTTGTTTGATAACGTGTGCAGAAAATATCAATATTGGAGGAAGCCTCGCACGAAATGCTCGTTTTTTTGCACCCACGTGTCTCGTTTCGAGTCTCTGGTTCGCCGTGTCTATGGGGGAAGCTGGAAAACCTGACCTTTTCGAATGTTTCACAGCAGGTTGTCCTGTCGTTTTGCGTGGCAGGCGTGGCACTTTCCTCACTCCACACTTTACACTCCTCACTTTACACTCCACACTCCACACTCTACACACCACACTCTACACTTTCCACTCCAGACTCCACACTCTACACTTTACGCTCCACACTCCACACTTTACACTTCACACTTTACACTCCACACTCCACACTTTACACTCCTCACTCCACACTTTACACTCCACACTCCACACTTTACACTCCTCACTCCACACTTTACACTCCTCACTCCACACTTTACACTCCACACTTTACACTCCACACTTTCCACTCAACACTCCACACTTTACACTCCTCACTCCACACTTTCCACTCAACACTCCACACTTTACACTCCAAACTCCACACTTTACACTCCTCACTCCACACTTTACACTCCTCACACTTTACACTCCACACTCCACACTCTACACCCCACACTCTACACTTTCCACTCCACACTCCACACTCTACACACCACACTCTACACTTTCCACTCCAGACACCACACTCTACACTTTACGCTCCACACTCCACACTTTACACTCCACACCCTACACTCCACACTCCACACTCCACACTTTACACTCCTCACTCCACACTTTACACTCCACACTTTACACTCCTCACTCCACACTCCATACTTTACACTCCTCACTCCACACTTTACACTCCACACTTCACACTTCACACTCCACACTTTCCAGTCAACACTCCACGCTCCACACTTTACACCCCACACACCACACTTTACACTCCTAACTCCACACTTTACACTCCTAACTCCACACTTTACACTCCACACTCTACACTTTACACTCCACACTTTACACTCCACACTCTACACTTTACACTCTACACTCTACACTCTACACTCCACACTTTACACTTTACACTTTACACTCCACGATTTCCACTTTACACTCCTCACTCCACAATTTTCACTCCACACTTTACAATCCACACTCCACACTCTACACTTTACACTTCACACTCCACACTCTACACTCCACACTTTACACTCCAAACTCCACACTCTACACACCACACTCTACACTTTCCACTCCTCACTCCACACTTTACACTCCTCACTTTACATTCCACACTCCTCACTCCACACTTTACACTCCTCACTTTACACTCCACACTGCACACTTTGCACTTTACACTCCTCACCCCACACACTCCACACTCCACACTCTACACTCCACACTCTACACTTTACACTCCACACTTCACACTCTACACTTTACACTCCACACTCCACACTTTGCACTTTACACTCCTCACTCCACACTCTACACTCTACACTCCACAGTCTACACTTCACACTCTACACTTTACACTCCATACTCCACACTCTACACTTTACACTCCGCATTCTACACTTTACACACTCTACACTCCCCACTCCACACTTTACCCTACTTCGCACTCCACACTCCACACTCTAGACTTTCCACTCCACACTGCAGACTGGTAACAAGGGAAACATGTACAAGACTGTTCAAATAAACTATTGCAGAAAGGTATTGTGCGTCACTGCATAACCATGTGTTTTGACATCTGTACCATTAACATACGTGTGAGCATTCGGGTTCGTGGGCTTCATCTTGTTTGGATGATATGTTGTTTTTTTTGTTCAGTCTGGAGCGAGCTAACTAGGGTTGGATTAGGGTTGGCTTAGGGTCATTTAGGACTGGTTTAGGGTTGGTTTAGGCTTTATTTAGGGTTGGTTTAAGTTTTACTTACTGTTGGTTTAGGGTTGATCCAGAGTTATTTAGGGATGGTTTAGGGTTTATTTTGGGGTTGGTTTAGGGTTTATTTAGGGTATTTAGGGTTGGTATAGGGTTTAGTTCGGGTTGGTTTATGGTTAGTTTAGGGTCATTTAGGTTGGGTTTCGGGTTGGTTTAGGGTAAATTTAGTGTTCGTTTAGGGTTTATTTAGGGTTGGTTTACGGTTTATTTAGGGTTGGTTTAGGGTTGGTTTAGGGTTTATTCCCTGTTGGTTTAGGGTTGGTTTATATAATGTTATTCAGTTTAGGGTTGGTTTAAGGTTTATTTAGGGTGGGTTATGTCGGGTTGGTTTAGGGTTTCTTTAGGGTTGGTTCAAGGTTTACTTAAGGTTTATTTAGGGTTGGTTTAGGGTCTATTTGAAGTCTGTTGAGGGTTGGATTGAGGTACATGTAGGGATACAAGATGTGTATAGATAGATCGATCGATAGATAGATAGATAAATGGATAGATAGGTTAGATTAGATTGGATTAGATTAGCCAGACTAGATTAGATTAGACTAGATTAGCTTAGATAGATAGATTAGATATATAAATTAGATAGATTAGATAGGTCAAATAGATTAGATAGATTAGATAGATTAGATAGATTAGATAGATAGATAGATAAGATTAGACTAGGCTAGATTGGATTAGGTTAGCTTAGATTAGATAGATAGATGGGTAAAGCATGGTAAAGCCACAAAAGCCACACACCCACAAACGCCACAGAAGTCTCAGAAGCCACAAAGCCAGGCTGTAAAACAAAAAAGCATAGCCCTCCTGTGCAAAATCATCATGAATTCAGTTGAGCTGCTGAAGTGCTTCGCATTCCTCGCATTCATATCTGGACACGTGCACATTGCTGGACATATAGCGTCGCCACAAAATACATGAGGTCACTGTGAAGTGTTTTGTAAACCAAGCATCTTCATGCATGGAGAGTTCAAGTCCAACGTCATGACGTGCACGTGCAGCTGCTTGAGTGAGGGAACAGAGTGAACACCGTGGATCCATCCTCAGCTGATCAGCTCATCTGTTCGATGCTCTCGTTCCAACGACGGAATGCGTGGAGTCAAATGAAACCTCTGCGAAACCCCTGCGGCTCATTCCATTTTGCCAAACTGCCAACTCCAGGAACACCAGGTCTACCCTCGACCTGCTGCAGCAACCATGCCACATACGATGACAAGCGCCTAGCTCCAGGTGGCTTGACAAGACTGAAAGATACTGAACAAATTACTGTTTCAGTATCTCCACATGTCTCCACTCACTTGCCAATTGCTTCTCAACTTTCAGGCCCAAGTTGGCAAAAGCTTTCTTCATTTGAACAAGAAGAATAGTCTGCGCATCCCGCCAAGCTACATGAGCATTGGCAGGTGCTCACGCGTCAACTTTTCCAGAGCTGCCACACGTGCACGAGGTAAAACAAGAAGATGTACTGCCGCCTGCTCTCACGAAGTCTGACGCTGGAAGGTAACAAATGCATATGACTACAAGGCTAAATGTGTTTATGACAGCAGCAAGAAGAGCCTTTGGGTAGCCATCATGAATCGTCACAAACTCCTGGCAAGACCAATCAGCAATGATCCGAAACACGTTCACTTTCAACACTTTGCTTGAGCAAAAGTTCAGCACGCAGTTCTTGAAATGCCCCTTGTTTGCACCTCTGTCTGATGAACCACGTGTGGATCCAAGGTCTTATCTCCTGCTTCTATTCGATCCAGAGCCTGAATCTGCGAAAGCTGCTTTAGTCAAATCACTCTTCTTATCTCTTTATATACATCTCTTTACGATCTTGCAATTAGTGTGACAGTTACTGCTGACATCTACAGATTCTACAGACTACAGACTACTCTTGTGAATTCTTATGACCTTGTACGACTCATGTCCAATGCTGCTGTGTACACAGCACGGTGAGCGCCTGCTCCAGGACAAGAGTCCATTTTCCGCGGCAGTTCAAAGGGCCGGCATTCGGAACGAGCGCTTTGAGGGAGGCTCCATCCAAAGTTCTTGAGAGGGCAGCATCTGCATCTGCATTTGCAGCCCCCATATCCTGCAGTTTCATGCAAAACTTATGCAAAATGCAACAAGCTTTCAAAATGCAAGGCCTGCAGAATTCTGAAACAATCAGCTCAACACCATCGTCTTTGTAGAGGCCCAAGGAGAATGTCCAGAAGCGCCCTGGCGGGCACGGCTCGGTACCAAGTTTCTTTGCCATTTACAATCATTTTACAAATATTTGACAAATATTTACACATGTTGTTTTTGGAGCACTCTTTGAGCCCCTCCTGCGTAGACCGCCACAAATACGGCAAGAGGCTGCTTAAGTCTCATGAAACATTGCAAGGGCTTCCGGGGCGGCCCACTTTGGGGCGCTACAATTGTGCAAGTGAGATGCTGCAGCGAAATCAGATAACGTTTGCAAGTAAATTCAAAACATACTCACACCTCAGAGAAGCCTATAGGGCTAGCACCGCTCTGCAGGCCACTGCCCCCTTTGCTTTAGCTGTCGCCTGAAGTTCTGTCATTTCGCCATTTCATGACATTTCAGTCATGTTCGCTCCGGTCTGCTGCTCTGCTCATGACATCCTGCCTGGCGGAAGGGCAGCTTTCGAAGCGCCGCGAGTTCGCCGAACCTCAGAAGCTCTGTACTCGTCTTAGACTCCAAGCATAGCAGGCTGTCCATGCTGTTCCTAAGCTTGAGATGTGAACTTTTCACCCTGCTGTAGCAACATGATGAAGTTGCCTTCCTGCACAGAATCACAAGGTCATAGGTGGCAGGAGAACAACGCAAACCTTTGACAACCGTTGACAAGGCATGACGGGCCTTCCAGATCTCCACCTCACCCTTCACAATGAAATACACGAAGCTTTTCCCAGTCTGGAAGACTTCACCATCCTCCGGACAATACACCAGGCAAACCAAAGCACCAGGTACACCCATTCAAAACGCACACTGTAAACGGAAAGCTAAAATATGCTAAAATCACAGCAGGACAGGATACAACAGGAATATGAACGCTCCTGGAGGATCACTTCACCATCCTTGAAGGTCTTGTCCACCTTCGCAGCAAACTGACAAGGAAAAGCATGTCACATCTGTCATGCAGCCTTCAACTCTTCCGTACCGTGTTACAAGCCTACTCAAAGCTCCAAACGCCATCTGAATGTCTGCAAGTATTTCAGAAGGACTCTTGCAACTGTCTGCTACGGCATGGGATCGGTGATGATAGGGAGTGAGCTGGTGATGGTGACTGTCATGTTTTACCAAAATCAACAGAGTAGGAACAGAAGGAGAGTCCCCTAACGATGATGGGGGTAATGAGGAATAAGAGCACTACGACAAGTCACAAATGATGCTGCTGGTGGTGTCAGGTCTGGTTAAAAAAAAGGAAGTTTAGCCTAAAAAGATTACCTGTGTGAGCCCTTCTAGACTTCGAAATTTATTGAAGCCTAGATCAAGCTTCAAATATGCTGCTTGTTGTCTTTGTTTGAAGAAGTGAACCATTGGATCGCTACTCTCTAGCCGAGGAAGGCACCAGGCGATCGCTCAGGGCATGTACCAAAGGAATTGGAGCATCCTGGAACTTGCAAAGACTCCAAATGTTCGCTACACATTCGCACGCGTCCACACCTGGAAGATAGGATTGATGGCAAACATGCTAGCATCTGCCTCAGTAACTCATGATTAGCAGTGTCAGGTCACAAATTCGTGCCGGCATGATCTTTACATCAACGTACGAATACAATTCTAGGTCGCTTCACACCAGTATCAGTGTGGTGTGGCAAACATTGTCCCACAAATGGCATCGAAACGCCGAAAATTTGATCCGGATATCTTTGCAAAGTCTTTGCTAAACTGAGATCTTGAACAGTACAGCTGCCAGGACCAGGGTGAAAACTAGAACCGCCAACGGCTCAATCCACTCATCGGATGATGATAATGGCGCAGACCTTCAAAGGCAAGCTGCAAGCCAAAGGTCCGATTTCAGTATGGACTTCATTTGATTTCCACTGAAGCATAAACTGTGCCGAAATGAAACAGTTTGGTTATGATGCTGAGTTCAAGGCGACTTGGGATCAATTTTTGGTTGTCTCGGCAACATCAGCATGTATTCCTTGATCGAATGTGTGTACCAAAAAGTTTAGTTAATCAGCGATTCATCAGGCTCTATCACTTGTGTTCCAAGGCACGCGGCTGACATCCGTCTGAGGTAGTGAAGACAGTTCCAGGGAGTATCTTCGGGATGTTGGAGTAGCCTTACACAAAAGGCAACGCAACTTGTTACCAGCAAAACGTAGGGCAAGGCATGCGCACACACCCATGCTGTGTTCCCTCGAAGGAGTGTAGGAGAGGAATATGCATAGCGCGGTATCCGTGCGATTACTTCATAAGCTGATACTCTAACATACTCTAACCAAAAGAATCTCAAAGGCAAAGTGGCTGATGATCGGCTGATGAACTGAGTGCTCTGCTGTCCCAAAACCGATTAACTCTCGGTCTCGCTTCTCTTCTTCCCCTGAGCATCCCATATTGATTAGGATCAATATTTTGAGGCTCTAAAATATTGATATTTAGAGATCAATATTTTATATTGATATTTTTCTTGGTTGCCTTTTGATCAAAATCTTGAACAATTTCTTAATAACATATTGATAGCCTCTTGAAACCTATCAAGATCAAGATCAAGACCAAGAACATATCAAGATCAACAATCACCATCCTACCATGCATGTCATGATCCTGCAGCTGTTTGGCTTATCAACTTTAGGAACCTAATAATATAGCCTTATAAGGCTGCAATTTTGGAAAGAACCTTGGCTTGGAAAAGTCCAAGCCCTGGTTTTGGAAAAGACCCCTAGCCCCAGGTCTTGGAAAAGACTCTTAGCCCCAGGTCTTGGAAAAGACCATGTCTGGGAGAGGTGGAAACAGAAACCCAGCAAAACCCTGGGTAGATGTGGGGCTTCTGCATGAGTGCTTGGAAAAGCATGGGGCAATGATGAAAAATTTGGGCAGCTATGAGCACATTAAATCATGCTCTGCCCCAAATGCTAAAGCATTGGTGGATTTGCAGCCACTGTGGTCAGACTTGGTAAAGTTGGAACCCAGTGGCATGATCCACTCACAACCACTGAGGCAAGCACTGCTGTCCCTCTTGGTGGAAATGCCTGAGCTGAATGCAAGTGACCACAGTGGACAGGTGTGGTGCAATTTGAAAGTGGAGCGACTGAACTGCATGCTTACCCATTGCAGGACGCTCCAAAGGGATACCAGCAGTTTGGCAGCAGTAGCTGGCAAACTCACCAGGCTGCAGTACCAAGCTCTCATGGAAGGCTTGGAAAAGCTCAAAGTGAGCAATGATAAAGCTGGAAGCAAAAAGATGCTTGGAAAAGCAGAAGCAGCCAACAGGCAGCTGGTGCCAAGGGATAATGATGCCACCATGGGGTCTGATGATACTATCCCTGATATGTTTAAGTCCCCAAAGGTGAAAAAGGGCAGAAGTGGTTTGGAAAAGCCATCCCCCTCTGGCACCAGTGGTTTGGAAAAATCACCTGCCTCCACCCCCAAGCTGGTATCCCAAGCAAGGCCAGGGAGCAGGTTGCATGAGGCCATGGGCTATGCCTTGGGAAAGTCAAAGAAAAAGGCAAAAGCCAAGCCTGTCCTCAAAAAGCCTGCAGCATGTCTTGGAAAAGGCCCCTTGAAGAAGCCTGCTGCAAGTCTTGGAAAAGACAGTCTTGGAAAAGGCACTTCCAGTGAAAGGAAGCCATGGGTAAAGCTCAGGCAAACTGATGCCAAAAAAGATAACCCCAGATCTTATATCTGTGGGATGGTAGAAGGTGGCAAAATGCACCTGATTGTGGAAATCAGTGCAAAGATGAGTCCACACTACACGGCCTTGATTGGCAAGATCAGGGAAGCCTTGGAAAAGGACAACCTGAGCAAGGAAGAAGCCCTCTCTATGAGAGCCAAGCTGCTGAAGCAGTATGGTGGCTCATAGAGAACTTCATCCCAAATGTCTTGGAAAAGGCACCTGCAAGGCCAAGTGCTTGGAAAAGACACCATCAGGTCTTGGAAAAGATCATAGCTGCAACCAGGTCTAACAAGACCTGAGCTGTAGAGAAAAGGTCTTGGAAAAGACCCTTTTGCTGTAACCAGGTCTAAAAAGGCTTGAGCTGCTGTACAGAACAGGTATTTTTTTGCTGCAACCAGGTCTAAAAAGACCTGAGCTGTACAGAAAATTGGTCTTGGAAAAGACCATGTAGGTGAGAAACTACAGTTTTGCTTTTTGTGAAAAAAAAGCTGCTGACCACTGCAAGCAGCTGTGTGTAGCCACTAGGCCAGCTGGTAGCCACTAGGTTGAACTTGTATGCATGTCTGCAGCTAGTGGCCCAAAAACATGACAGCATGTCACCACACATGACAACATGTCACCACACACACATGACATGAACATGACATGAACACACACAAGCACACACAATATACACAACATATCGGCAAGCAACACACTGACCAGCACACTTCACATACACTTCACAGCAGCACACAACACCACAGCTTTTAGGCCTCCAGTAGCTGCAGCTGTTGGTTGGCTTGGAAAAGCTTCTCTACCCTGGAAAGGGCCTGGTCTTGGAAAAGGCTGTCCCTGGCTGGTTTTGGAAAAGACCTAGCCTGTTGGGTGGTCATGGAGGCACCCCCACAGCCACCCAACAAAAAGGGAAGGCCTTTTGGGCATGGGACAACATCCCATGCCAGAAAGGCAAGAAGGGCTCACATGCAATGGTCAGCCCTTGAAGGGGCAGACCCCCAGAGCCCTTCCACCTATGTGAAGCACTTGGCAGCTTTGGGAAAGGCAACAGCCAAGTGCAAGGAGGAGCTGGAAGCTTCCCTGAGCAAGAGCTTGGAAAAGCTGCCAGTGGAAGGCAAAAAGGTGGGTCCAAAATTCTTGGAAAAAATGGGACCCCCAGAAAGGCATCCCTGAACCCCAGGAGAGACTTGGAAGAGTCTGCAACTGGCAGTGCCAGCTCCAGCAGTGGCTTGGAAAAGCCACCTGGAACCTGGGGGGTTCAGGGTGGCAAGAAAAAGAGCAAAAGAAAGACTTTGGAAAAGGTTTCAGAGTCCTTGGAAAAGGACAAAAAGCCTAAGGGAAAGGCTTTGAATCATTCCCAGTGGGATGATGATGAGGAGGAAGAGTCCTTGGAAAAGGACCAAAAACCAGTTGTGGTGGTGGACTGGTACAACACCCTTTGGGTTGGCAAAGGGATTCCTCCTGAGAACCTGGCAGGCTTGGAAAAGCTGTGCCAGGCAGCCCAGGTCACCATCCTCAGCTTTGTGGGCTCTTGGAAAAGGGCCCAGGAGGTGGAAAAGGACATGCAGGAGCATGTCCCTGACCACCTCCAGCAGATCATCCCCATGGAGACCTGCAGGGGGAAGGTTGGCAATGATGGCAAATGCCATCATGCCTGTGACTGGGGGGCTGAGGCAATCTTTGATGATCGTGCAGCAATCATCAGAGAGTGCCAGGAGTGGGGATTGGACGTCTATCCAATCAACACTCTGCAGGAGGGCCATGCTAGGGCTGGTGGTGGGTATGAAACCTTTGCTGATGCAGTGGAGGCATGCCTCAAGAACCACCAGTAGAGCAAGGCCCATGTGCTTGGAAAAGCACAACCTGCAAAGGGGCTTGGAAAAGCCACCAGCCAGGCTTGGAAAAGCCTCCCCACTCAGGCCAAATGGGCTTGGAAAAGCCCAGGGAGGAAACCATGCCACAGTGGGACTGCATTGCAAATGTTTTTGTTGAAATAGTGTTTTGTTGAAAAAACAAACTTATACATTGGTTATATATGTTTTTTTTGGTCAATGCAATGCAGTCCCACCCATGCAGCACAGGCACCAGGCACTTGAGAGGCTAATATATATATATATTCATATAATAGTCAGCTGTTTGTTGCCCAATTAGCCTCTCAAGTGGTTGGTGCATTCAGCATGGAACAGCAGGCTTGGAAAAGCCTTTTTTTTTTTGGTACAGTACAGTGTACAGTCAGCCTTTTTCAAGGCTTTGTTTTTGAAATGTGGAGCTGGTAAAACACCAGTTCCACAGAGACTACAGAATAATGAAAAAATGAAATATAAAATATCTAAATAATAATAATAGTCTAAAATTATGAACAAATATAACTAACTATAGAAAATAAAATTTAAGTATACAGATCAATACACAATTGAAAATATGATCTTATATATATATGTGTGAACACATTTTAATATATATATATATAAATTAATATATTTATATATATATATATATTTCAAAAGGTATCTATATATATATTGATATCTATGTATGTTTTATATATCCAAAATGTTTTCCTAATATTTGTTTTAAATAAACATATTTTTGTATTTAAACTAAACCCTTGAAAAATGGAAACATAACACATGAACAAAAAAAATATATTTGAATTCTATTTTGATTTATTTCCATTATTTGGGGTTGTGTGGACTTGGAAAAGCCACCAGGCTTCAAAACATTGGCAACACTAAACTGGAAACTTTTCAAAGGTTGAAATCTGGAGGCCCTCAACCTGCAGTGGACTTGGAAAAGTCTCAAGGCTTCAAAAAAAATGGCAAAACTAAACTGGAAACTTTTGAAAGCTTTTTTCAAACCTGATTTGAAACCTGGAGACCCTCAACCTGCAGTGGATTTGGCAAAGTCTCAAGGCTTCAAAAAAATGGCAAGACTAAACTGGAAACTGTTGAAAGGTTTTTTCAAACCTGTTTTGAAATCTGGGGACCCTCAACCTGCAGTGGACTTGGAAAAGTCTCAAGGCTGGAAACAATTGGCAGGAATAAACTGGAAACTTTTGAAAGGTTTTTTCAAACCTGTTTTGAAATCTGGAGACCATCAACCTGCAGTGGACTTGGAAAAGTCTCAAGGCTTCAAAAAATTGGCAAGACTAAACTGGAAACTTTTGAAAAATTTTTCCAAACCTGTTTTGAAATCTGGAGACCCTCAACCTGCAGTGGATTTGGACAAATCTCAAGGCTGGAAAAACTTGGCAAAACTAAACTGGAATTTTTTGAAAGGTTTTTTCCAAACCTGTGTTGAATGTAAATATATTTGTCCAGAGACTAAATCAAAATTGTTTCACTACCAAATTATGTTTAACCAAAGCTCAGAATCTAGTTAATTACCAAAAAAAACTTGAAAGAACAAAACAAAATGTTTTTTGTTTTTGAATTTGATTGTCTTGTTACAAAAGAAAAAATACTGACAAATTCTAAAAAATACAGTTTTGATCAAATTTGATCAATTCTGATCAATCTTGATCAAATTTCATCAAATCTGATCAAATTTGATCAAAACTTGATTTTGATCAAATTTGATCAGATTTGATCAAAATTGCAACTATTATTATTTTTGAAAAAACACAATTGTGGAACAAATGTTTTTGAATGTTCTCATTTTTGCGCTAAATTATTTTTTTGGTTTTGAACAAATACACATATGTTTTTTAATCATATATATATAAGGTTTAGACTACAAACACAATACAAAACAAATATGAATTTATTAAAAACATATTTTTTGGAACAAAAAATGCAATTAATTCATTACCAATGTCCAACAAAAAATAAATAGTAAACACAGCAACATACATCAACACAACCAACAAACAAACAAAATAGCGCATCCAAGCCATGTAATTGAATTTTTGTTTTCAATGGACTTGGAAAAGTCCATTCAATATTGTTTTGTTTTTTTATGGGTGTGGCTTAAACAAACAACACATTTGAGTACAACATAGGTTTGAATGATATGTGTCAATGTTAAATGTGTTTGTTGGGTTCATATTTGTTTGTGATTGTTCATGTGTTTGTTTGTTCCAAACATATTTGTTTATATGTTTTTGGGGTTTCCTATGGTTGCTTTTCCAAGCAATGTAAACAAACATGACACCAGCTACATGTGGCAGTTTTGGTTCAAACCTGTTTTAGCGCTAAATATAGCTTGAGGTGCAAAGAAGCAATGGCACCCAAAAAGGCAATGAAAACCATGAAGGTCTTGGACAAGACCAGGGGCGTGGAAAAGACCAAGAAAGGCATGAAGAAACCAAAGGCTTGGAAAAGCAAGCCTGGAAAGGCTAGCAAGCCTGGAAAGGCTAGCAAGCCTGGAAAGGCTTCAAAGCTCAGCAAGGCCAGCTTGGAAAAGTTAGGCCAGATGAGCTTGAAAGACAAGATGAAGGCAGCAGCTGAAGGGGCAAAGGACCCAAATGCAGCTGCCATTGTCTTGCATGAGAGCATGTCCAAGCTGGAGAAGTCAAAGGCTTGGAGTAAGCACCAGACTGCTCTCAAGCATGGCTCCAAGGAGGGGCAAGCAGCTTACAATGACATGTCAAAGAAAGACAAAGGCATTGCAGCTGCAGCCTTTCTCTTGGAAAAGGAGGGCAAATCCTACATGACAGCCTTGAAAAAGGTATCTGTAGGAGAGAAGGTCAACAAAACAGATGACTGGCAAACAGAGTTGCAAATGTTGGCCAAGTTCACAAAAGATGAACTTGAGCTCCATTTGCAGTCTGGGAGAGTTGTCTGGAGAGAGTGTCCTTCCACCTGGGGTGTGTATGAATACAAGGACACCCAAGACTACCACAGGGAGGTCACCACCAACAGGAATAAGGAATGGCAGCAGGGGGTGGAGTATGATCCAGTGGAGGAGGACTTGGAAAAGTTCATGGATCTCTTCACCAAAGACTGCCATTCCCTGGTGGTGGATGATCACCCTAAAGGCTCTGGAAAGAGCTCTGGGAAGGGCAAAGGTCTTGGAATAGGCAAAACCAAAAACAAAAGCAACACGAATGTTCCTGAGGACAAGCTGGATTCCTTGGAAAAGGTAATGAAGGCTTGCAAGACAGCCAGGAACATGGTTGCTTCCACCCAGTCAGACTTGGAACTGGCTTTGGAAAAGGCTAAGGCCAAGCTGAACAAGGTTGGCAGAGCATCTGCAGAAGATGCTTTGAAGAAGCTTGGAAAAGCTATTGGTGACCTGAAAAGTATGCTGTCTGGAAAGAACAGCAAAGACATTAAGTCAATGAAAAAGAAGCTGGTGGATGTGGCCCAAGTTGTCAAGGATGCCAAAGGTGAGACAAGAGAGCTCAAAAGTCTTGGCGGCAGGGCCATGTCCACAGCTGGAAGCAGGAGAGGCAATTGATTTTGGAAAAGGTCAATGCCAAAAGGTCTTGGAAAAGACTTTGGAAAACCTGCATGTCTTGGAAAAGGCATGGTATATAGCCAAACATCATGCTGGATGACCAGCATGCCTTGGAAAAGGCATTGTGTATATAGCCAGAAGCTATGCATGGGTTGCATCTTTATATGTGACCCCCACTCTGGAATTGTTTGGAAAAGCATCATCTGTTTGCAATGCAACCCATGCATAGCCATAGGCATCTTTGGCAAAGACCTTTGGCAGCCCACCAGTGGCAGCCCACAGTTTTGGCAGGTTGGAAAAAGTGAAGCTGCTGCCTCACACACAGAGACATGTCTAAGGTTGATCAAGTGAATGGTGCATGCCCTTGCTGCAGCTGTGTTGGCTCCAAATTTTGTTTTTCATTGTATTCATAGAAGCAGGCTTGGAAAAGTCCAGAACCAAAGGCTTTGAAAAGTCAATGGCCAAAAGGGTCAGAGGATGGCAGCTGGAAATGGAATCTGGCAGGCAAGTGCAAAGAAAGGGCAAGGTCTTGGAAAAGGTTCATGCCTTGGAAAAGGCTGAGCCAAACCCATCTTCCCTGGCCACCAGGTTGCTGCATTTGTGGGGAAGTGGCCTCCTATCAGCAACCATGATCAAGGAACTTGCAAGTCTAGCAATGGAAGATGGTGCAAGCCACCCAGAGCTAATAAAATTAGCTGAAAGTGGCAACTGGGGGGCTCAGCCAGGAAACATTCACAAACAGGTCATGATGAAATTTTGTGCCAATGTGAAACTGGCTGAGCCCTCCCACATCAGTGTCAAATGCATTGATGCAAAAACTAGCTTGGAAAAGCTGGATCAAGCAGCTGTCATGCTCCCACATTTGCACTTTGCTGCTTTGGCAGAACATTACCCAATGTTCTGCCAGGAAGCTTTCAGCCTTGGAAAAGGCAGCTTGGAAAAGTTTTGGGAAGGAGTGCAGAAGGTGGGGGATGATAGGCTTGAAGGCCATCCTGTGTGCTGGAAAAGCATTGGAAGCAAAAATCAATTCCTTTATTCCCCACATCACTGTGTGGGGTTCTTGTTTTTCGCTTGCATCCCGCCGGGGCTTCCGCCTCCGCCTCCGCCCCGCCGCCTCGCCCTCCGCCGCCTCTTGTTCACTCACTCACTCGCTCACCTCACCTCACCTCACCTCACCTCACCTCACCTCACCTCCACTTCACTTCCACTTCACTCACTTCACTCACTTCACTCACTTCACTCACTTCACTCACTTCACTCACTCACTCACTCACTCACTCACTCACTCACCCTCACTCACCCTCACTCACCCTCACTCACCCTCACTCACCCTCTCTCACCCTCACTCACCCTCACTCACCCTCACTCACCCTCACTCACCCTCACTCACCCTCACTCACCCTCTCACTCCCCCTCACGCACCTCACTCACC